TATCGCCATTGGCAATTAAGATGAAGTTGTTATTTTGGTTACAATGATAAATGCATTAAGAATAATGCATCTGGACATGTTAATAATAAATAAAAATTAGACTGAATGCTGATTAAAACTAGCTACATTAAGCACCCCTGCTGCAGTGAGAATATAATGTGCTTTAAGATTGGATTCATCACTCAATGATTATGTTCTGCTTTCTTTACAAATTTAAATTAATGAATATTTGAATGCTATTCCCCTATTTAATATAAAATCGAAATATAATATTTATATACAAAAATCAGACAATAACCTAATTGATGTTTTTGCATAACATGGGTTTGTCCATTCATTCATATTTGTGAGCAGCCCTCGGTGCTCCCACGAAATTTGACGCACCCAACAACACATATGTCTGGTGGAAACAGGGCCAAAGATTGTCCATGCAGTCTGATCCTTAGAGTTAAACAGACATTTTTCCTACTGTACCTTTAAAACCTCTAAGTAATTGCCCTCTGTTTATGATTGACTAACCTTTCTGGTTGTGAAGTTCAGGGAAGCATTTAAATGTTGGTGGTCGTATGTTAATATGCTCATGGTTGTCACATCTTGGTGGATTATAAGGGAGATCTGTGTCATGAAAGATACAAAATGTCTACATTAGTTGGTGCAAACTGATGATGGCACATCTGATCACTTATTTAAATTTTCATATACTCCAGTCATTTGATCAGGCTTATTCGTGTTGAAGGGGTCAGGACCCTTACAAGACTATATTACTTTGTTTTTCTGTCATGCTCTCCCTTTTGAATGGAGGCAGTTTGTGCCAAGGATTTTTTTTCATTATATGATTAATTGTTTGTGAGAGGTAGAGTACAAACAAAATAAATTGTACATAGCAGGTCAGTAGTAACCAGCGCCTGAGGTCACAACTACCTCTAATGTGGAGCAACAATGAGAAACTCAAGAGTGTGTATCATTTCACACCATGCCAGGATATATGAACATAAGGTCCTGCTACCCATGAGGACTGTTGCACCGCATGATAAACAATTCTCCTTTAATCTGATATGTTGGTATGATATTCCCCAGCATCAGGACTGTTGAAAGTGCTAGTTTCTGCAAAACATCTGCAAGCACGGCACTGATGATTTTGTATTTATTTTGTCTGTTAAATTTATGCTTAAATTAAAGGGGTCATATGATGCTGCTAAAAAGAACATTATTTTGTGTATTTGGTGTAATGAAATGTGTTTATGCGGTTTAAAGTTAAAAAAACACATATCTCTTTGGATTTGAGACTTTAGTCTTTGCAACTTTACAGATCTTCTTTATGCACCAAGAGCTTGTAACACTCTAAAGAGAAAGGAAAAAATGAAATCGCATCATATGACCCCTTTAAGATTTTACTATCATAAGTGGAAAATAACAACTCTATCGCTAACATTTATCATCACATTAAAATTACTTTAAATATTTGGGCAAATTATATCCAACAGCCATAACCTGACTGATATTTTCATACGCACCATACAATAATAGATGAGCATTCTATGTGTTTCAATGTTTGAATCATAGCTCATGGTTCTTGTTGATATTGTGGAAATATATATTTATGTAAATATGCACCTATATGTTAAACTATGAATTATGAATGGGGGGGTTGAAATCCTGATTTATAGGGTCCATCTGTTGATATGCAATCTTGAGTCACTTCTTATGAATAATACTATTACCTAATCAATTATTCATGTTTCATCATCATTCTTTTAAAACTTCCAGCCAGTCAGATGATTCATCTTGGTTGTACTTGGATGTACATGAATAAACATGTTTAGAAGAATACTGCTTAATACTGATTATACTGTTGAGAAGATCCTATCAAAAGCTGCACCCCTGGGACATAGAGAAACGTTTTTTTTTTTTTTATGGAGAAGCATAATGTTCTGTCTTTGTTGTAACAGATGAAATTGTGTCCCCTGTGTTCTGGGCTGATGAGGCAGAGCTCTAGAGAAGTCATTCAGCAGGACTGTCTTCTCTTGTAGAGTTCTTTATAAACAACTTAGACATGAATATTTTTACGTCTTATGAAGGTAACCTTACTTGGAAAGTGGCCAAGAACTCGACTAACTGAAGACTGAGCTGAAACTTAAAATGAGTGGCATGGACCGCTTTTATTATATTTCCATGAAGCTTTTGTGTCCTTTTTTAAGCTTAAAAGCCTCTGTTTGCTTTTATTATCAATTCCATTGAATAGAGTGACCAATACCATCTTCAATATCCTTTTATATTCCAGGGAAGAAAGTAAGTCATACAGGTTTGGAATGAAAGGAGGGTGACTAAATGGCAGAAAGGACAATTTTAGGTTATTGAGAGGAAGGCCAAAAGAAAAATTATGTACCATAAAAGAATACATTGTTTAACAAACAACACAATTTGTCTAGAAAATATAATTTTCTAGTAATACAAGACATGCTGTAGAATTGCACTTTCACTGAAAAGATTTAGTCCAAACTTACTTAAGTGCAAATGAACTATAATTTATTGATCTGGAAAACCTCATGAGCTTTGTTAACAGAATAGCTGCACTGGCTTTATTAAAAGGTGTGTGGAATATATAGGGAATACTCTGCAGATATGCTTCATTATAAATCAGAATCCCACTGCCTATTTTATTAAAAAGCCACACAAATATATTTAATGAAAACATTTTCTATCTAACAAAATGCTATGAGTGCTCTTTGATTATGTTTGTCCTTTTGAAAACATGTTTACTGTGTTGTTGCTTATGTTTAGTTCTGATCATAACAGTTTTAGTGTTACAGAAAGTGTAATTAGCCTCTTTTTCACACCAGCATGAGAAACTCTGGCTCACTTTTAGCATGCGAGAGCTACAGGAGAGTTGAGCCCAGGTCTCAGGTCCTGTATGTGTGAAGGGGCAGATGATTCAACAGCTCAGGCCCATTGGCTCAGTCAGGATGAAAATATTCATAATGGATTAAAATGTGGCATATGACGGGTCACTGTGTATTTGGACACTTCAATGTCAGACAGAAGGGGGTGGAGGCGAGTAACATAATATGTCAGAAGTGTCTAATTTGGCAAAACTCTTTATTTCAAGAGGATTCTGCTATCTGCTGATCACGCTATACTGAAAATTATCATATTATATACTTGTTGACTCAGATGAGGGCAGAATTTGAGAATTGTGTTTTCCTTCGTCTGTACTGGTGAAAACTTACCTCTGACAGAGGCAGAGAATTTTAGTGTTTGATTTTTAGAAAATCAAAAAATGTGTTTGCAGTAATATACAGTACAGTTAATTTCTATGGTATCTATAGTTATAATTAGAAATGTGCAGCTCATATATTTGATCAACTTAATTATGTTTTACAAAAATGTTATCCACGCTTTAAAGTTTTCTAAATCATCCTTTTAGCCACAGAAAAAAAGTTAATTGCAATATACAAAGCAATCATCCTAGCAAAATGACGAACACTGCAACAATATACAGTAATTAATACACTTTTGTTACCCAAAACAGTTTCTGCTGGATTTAGTGCATTATATTGTTTACATATGACTATATTTCATTCAGATTTCACACAGATTATACAGACACACTGCAAAGCTGAGAAGCTCTAGCATTTTTGAGCAGAGTTCTCCAGCTGCAGTGGACAGGTGCCATTACCCATATAAGTGGATTGATATACTGTATAGCGCTGCCATGGGTGACAGCAAATAGTAGGAAATATCAGACCATGATGAGACCAATGATGTGAATAAAGTATTAATTGATTAAATCAATGTGCGCAGAGCTTTACTATACATACATGCATGCATACTGTATATGAAGACTTCATATGCAAAAGCCTCAAAGTGCCATCTGATATTTTCTTCTAAAATCAGCATTTTTATCATGCTCCTATGGTTGGGTTCAGTAATTTCACTTTATTGGCAATGGATAGGTCCTTTTCGTTGCCATTAAAGTGAAATGACTGAACATAAACATAGAAACAAAATGCTAATTTTAGAAGAAAATGTCAGATGGCTTTTGCATTTTTCTTCACACACACACACACACACACACACACACACACACAGTGTAGTCTAGTGTAGTGTAACCTATCAACTGCCTCACATATGAGCATTGGCACTATATTCACTGTATCATGTGCTGTCATTTGATAGGAGGTCTGTGCATTACTTTTATAGGTAAGCGATTTGAACACGCACAGATCCTGTCATCCATTCTTTCCATTCACCCTTTGGCTATGTGTGCATAATCAGCTAGGCTATAGCTCCAAGACACACAAGGCCAAACCACAAAAACATTTTATCAAAATATATGGTCTGACTTATAGGCCCTCCCAAAAGAGAATTATGATAGGTATTGTCAAAGACGTGTGTAAATAAAAAGAGAAACAAGCATGAATTAAAACCTCACTAATTGAGCAGCTCCAAAACATACCAATGGTTCAAGCAAACAATGGATTGTTTCAGAGAATTGCGGTAAACATTTTGAAGTATACACTGAAACGTCACTCTCAGTTTCCTTTGTTCCTGTTTGTGTTTTGAAGCTGTGTATTGAGCCTGTGTTAAATCACTGTACCGTGGGATTGCTGGGTCGTGTCATCACAGGCAGCTGTGCAGATGTTTGCTAGACATGCTTCTCTCGCAGGTACTGCTGCATGTTCGAGTCAACACTGCACCCTGGTGGACGTTCTTTCAGATATACTTTGAAATGATCGCTTCTTTGTAAATGGGTCAGTGAAAGGACGATTTTTGTCTGCGTCTGCTAATTTATTTAAACAAACATTAAACATAATCATAATTTATACACAGAGACAATGGCCTGAATTCACATCTTCTATAATGATTTGGATTTTTAATTAAATAAACTAAATTCAATTAAACAAACAAAAAAAAAGCTAAAATTAAATGTGTAAAGACTACTTTTTAACTTTTTTAATTAACTTTTTTTTTGTTGTATTGAATGTGTAAGAAAAACATTTTATTACTTTTTACTTGATGGTTATGAAACTTGATGGTTATGGAAATTAGTAACTCAGTTGATCATATTGGAATACAAATTAATAACAAGTTCTAAAATTAAGATTTAAAGAAAGCAATCAGTCATTTGCAGGCTTGCAGGCAAGAAAATAGAAGTATTTAACTCCCATGATAACTTCTCTCTCCGAGGATGTTACATCCATTGCACGCAACAGTCTTGGTAGGAAAAATGGAGTGTGAGGAAAAGAGAAAGAGATATATGATATGATACACACAGGAGTATATTACAAAGACATTACATAAGAGAACTCTAAGTCTAATACCTGTGTTCAATGTCCTGTGAGAGTCGTCTGGCCTCTTGATCTTTTTTTAAGAGAGTCTGGAAAGTGGAGAAAGACTCCACCATGCCGATGTAGCCAGAGAGAGGGACAGGCTTCCTCACCCAAAAAATGTCCTGCCTAAAGAAAAAACACAGTTGCAGTCCAGCTTCTGATTGGTCAACACTACATCCAGCCATGTTATATTTGACAATAATGTATACAGCTTAGTTTTTTTTTAGTTTTTTTAATCCTGGATAGCAAGTTTGTTATGTCAGGGACACTTAACAAATTAAACTACAAATTTAAATCCTTCATATTTTTATTATGTAGCATTCATTATATAAAAGGTAATCAAGGCATAACAAGCCCTTTATTAACTGAGGCACATATATAGTCACAATATAACAAATTGCTACTTATATGTAACTTAATAAAACCTTCTTCAGTCTCTAAACCTAAGATTGATGGCACTTTAAACTGTTTTGACCTACTTAATTATCTATAAAGTTAATATTTTAACAGCTAGTTTGTATATAACTACATTACCATTCTTTGACTGGATACTGGAGAGAGTCATATGTTTTCTTGTAAAGTTCGAAGGAGCTGGAACCTAGGTAAGGATTCCGGAAAGGCTGCAGGGCTGCATAAAACTGTAATGAGACAGATGTATATGACATGTGATAGAATACTTGTTTATTTTTGTGTCAAAAACAAAGTTTTTTTTAACCATTTACTGACCCAACAGTTCAGTAATCAATCAGTCTTAGTACTGTAAAATGCTGTGGGTAATGTTTGCTGAGTAAATGATTTAATATTATGACTTATGGGTCATATATGAGAAGAAATTGAGATCATTTTAGATAATTTTCGAATTAGATAATTCTAAAATATTCTCACAGAATATGTAGCACACACAGATGTTCAGACAGCAAGTTGAAATGTCAGAAATATCAGTCTTATGACTCCCACCTCATTACAGATGTGGTTTAAAGTCTCTGAGCAGTCTCCATAGCTCAGCTCCATGTCCATGGTGTAGTTGAGAACTGCAAGGCAGCCATGAGGCTTAAGCACTCTATGAGCCTCCCGAAGAAAACGTGAATGTTCAAACCAATGGAACGCAGACATGGCCGTCACAAGATCTACAGAGCCATCTTCAAAAGGCAGTTCTTCAGCTGGACTCTCCCTTTGGGTTTCAAAGAAGTAAAACAGATGCATGATGTGCATATTGTATGCGTGAAACTCACAAAGAGAACAAAATCAAGAGCATAATCATGGTATTTAACTTCTAAATAAATATTAGAAATCTTCATTTAGGCCCATTAAGATATTATTTTCATGTCCCTACCTTTTATGTGCCAGATCATTAAAAAAAACCTGCATAATGGGTTTTTTATTGGTCATTTATGACACATTAATGATTCTCATTGCTGTAATACAGTAATGAGTCATTCTGTCTGGAAACAATACTTTTTTAACAATTGAAAAATATATAAATATATTACAATGTTAATATATAAATATACATTTTGCAGAGATTTCTGAGTTTCTGAGTTCTTTGCGTGTGCATGTTTTACTTTTGAGTTAGTTTGTATTTTTCACATAAACTAATTTCAGAAAAAAATGTTAAATTAAAAATAAAAATATTTAAATTGTAAAGTAAAACATCATTATAATATTTGTTGTATTATATATATATATATATATATATATATATAAGCTGTCACACATGCAGTAACACCCAATTCAGGTTTGCCTACCTGTAAGAGACGTTTGGAATATTAACATGTTTCCTCCCCATCTCCAGTTGAGCAGGACTGATGTCTGTCCCTACCACACAAGTAAAATGTGGTGCTAAGAGCAACGTTCCCTGCCCTGACCCACAACCAACATCTACTGCCAGGTCATTGGCTGAATTTTTCTGAGAAAATGCAGTAAACAATATATCCAAATGTAAATGAAATGACAAAGATGGCAGGCTGATGAATAAACAACAACAAACAGTCATAGAAGTCCTACATTATTCCTGTGGAACTGTAGAACCTTGTCGATGAGCTCTTCAGAAGGAGAAATTCGGTACTTCCAGTATGAGTCTGCATGTTCTTTATCCTCAAACAAACGTACCGCCATTTTTGAGCGCTGTACAAGTGCACTAAACACTGAGAGACAGTATCAACTGTGCCAATAGCACTAAGCTGTTTAAAACATTCCTTTGAGGCAACTGTAATGTGCTCAGTTTGCTAATGAGGACTTGAGCCTCACACACAGACATTTTTTCACATTCACTCTGGAGTAAAGACTAAAGGTTCTTTCAAAGTTAATAAACATCTCCTAAGCAATGACCAGAAAAGAATCAAAGGTTTCCAGTATGAATGAAAATATAAGAGAGTACATGAAAAAATAAAAGTACAGAAAGGCATAATGCTTATCTGTTGATGTTGATATTGCTGAAGAACAACAGGTTTATGGAATAGAGAATGGTGAATGTGAAGTGTGGGTGTTAAGAAGGATTTATTTACATTTTTACAAAACCTAGATTAAGTAAACATTTCTGTGGCATCCAGGGAATTTTTTACTGTTCATGTGAACAAACTTCAAAAATGAAAAAAAAAAAAAAAAAGGATTTTATTGTTATTTTAAACAACATTACATAAATGCCTGCATGTTGTAGAGTAAATAATTTCGAATTAACATTATGCAACATCATAATGCACAGTGCAAATAATAAATGGTTTATATTTTCAGAATCTTTCATGTGAAATTATGAAAAATATTGTGTGTTTGTAAGCCCACAGATTTGCTAGCAACTTGTTTAACAAAGTGAAATCAAACCTTTCACAGGAACTACAGTAGCTAAACACCTGGGATGATAGTACAGGTGAGGTGGGTCATGTGATTGAGTCATGTGTCACTCAGGTTTACATGCAAGCACACAGAAGTACTTCATTATAAAGTCGACTTTGGCCTCTGTTGATGACACTTTCATCTCCTCTAGAATCCTGGAACAGAATAAGTGACAAGCAAACATACCATCAACATGATCTATAAAGGCCAAAAAGCAAATTTCCTTTAATAAGAATCTTGCAGTCTAATGTTGTTTTACAATCAACATTGCATGACAGAAAAAGCGGCTGAAGTGTTGAAGTTCTTCAAAAAGAAGTAATTACCGTGATGTTGTTCTCTCCAACAGTGCGGTTGCAGCGCTCGGATCGGCTCTCAGATAGGCTTGGTACATGGAGAATGTCTGAATAAAACCAGTTACATTCTTGATGCTCAGCTGCTGCTTTATTGGAATTATTTCAATCCCTAAAAAAAACTGTTAGAATCTACAACTGCAACTCATATCAAGGATGACATTATTCAAAACAAAACATGTAAAATATAATGTTTTTAGAATAAATGTTATTTAAAAAAAAGCAATGTATAAACAATATACAATGTTTTATTTTACACACAAATGCCACCTATACAAAAGAAAGTAAATGTGATAAGCAGATTTGTGCAGAGGTTCGTTGACACACAGACAGTTAATTGTTCATTACAGTGCAGTGCTCTGGTTTACCTCTTTTTATCTGGGAAGGGTATGGTTTCAAATAAGATCTTTAGCTTACTGTTGGCCCCAGTTATCTTACTGCTTGTGTAATTGTAATTGCTAATTGCTTTACCTAGCAGGATAAATTAATACAAGAGTGCAGTTTGCAGTTATTCTATGAGCATATTTAACCTTTAGTGAAATGGTTTGCAAAAGTAAAAGGTGATAAACATGCATTCAGTAAGCTAAGGCTTTTGCATTTACATATTAAACAGGGTCAAATTATTATTAAACCTGCTCTCTAGATACTCTTATTTCATTTATATAAATACATAGTTATGGTATAGGCTTACTTCCTCACATATGTTATTAAGTCGATCACCACAAGATTCATAGTGTATTTTCATATTGTCTCCATAGCCAAAGAGAGCCAAGCAGCCACGTGGCTTCAGAACATGTGTAGCCTCCTTTATGAAAGTTCAGCGTCGAACCAATGAGCCGCAGACCCAGCCGTCAGCAGATCCACTGAGCCATCTGGGATGGCAGCTCCTCTGCTGTGCCTACTCTGTCATTTAATGATAAACATGATACGGAGAGACCACAGTAATCTAATTTTTTTCTTTCAAGGTTATACAAAGGTATAATGGTACATTGTTCCATATCTTTTACATTATGAGATAAAAAATAAGTAATGGGACAAGATTTATTTGTTTTTTAAGGAAGAGTAGAAACATGCATTACTGACCTGTAGCTGAGGTTAGGGAAGCCTGGCACTGCTCTCGCCTGCTCCACCTGAGATTCACTGACGTCAATGCCCACCACCTGCTCAAAATACGCCATCAGGGTACGAGAGTTCTGCCCCGTTCCACAGCCCAAATCCACAGCTAGATGATGGGGCTTTCCTTTATGTGAAGCATGTTTTTACCATTAAACATTATATGGGAGAACAGCTTATTTTTTTCACACATTAAATATAAAGTAAATAAGTAATAGACAAATGTTATGTAACATCAATTTCTTTTCTGTTACTTCGGAGGTGTTAAGTTATGAGTTTCCAACATTTGCACTTCTGACTTGTCTCTGGTGGTAACTTAGAAACAGTATGGTGTTACCATGATTTATTGGACATGGTAAAATGGCAATAAACCCCACTGTGCTTTCGTATACAATCTAAATTAATTTTATATTGTACTATTAATTTTTATATATATTTTTTTTAGTAGTATAAATATAATTACAACCACCTTAGTATGTTATTTTTATGGTTTATTATTATAATTATTATTACAATAATGTATTAAAATTGTTTTATAATGTATGTGCTCCATATTTTGGAAGGGTCTCTCACAGTTACCAAACAAACATGCAGTGATTCACCAACATGCCAGACTGTTGCGCTCAAAACGTACGCTAATAATAACACGACAGTCTTACCTTTTTGTCCAGATAATGGAGAATAAGCTTCTTCAGCTCATCAGGTGGACCAAATCGATATTTTTGATAGAGTGAGGCATGTCGTTTCTCTTCAAACAATCTTTCAGTCATCTTCACTGTGACTTCAGAGCAAATCTTCAGAGCAAATTACTGGACATCTGCTGAGAAGTTAATCATTACTGGACATTACAAACACAGACCGATATAAAGTTGGTTCGACGTTTGACATTTGTCAGAGATTCAGCCTCGGAAATCTTCAATAGTTCTTTAACGATTTAGCACAAGGACAAGAAACATAATGTGTTATAATTGTTTTCAAATGTAGAAGAGAACACACAATGTGTTTTATTTGTTTTAATCTGCCTTAAGGTATTGTAACTGATAGACCTTATAATGTAAAAGTGCAGGATAGGGACCGTCTGCAAAGTGCAAAACCAAGAGCAAAAAGCACAATTATTCCACTTAAATGCTTCACTTGTGAGATGTATAAAAATAAATCTCAGATCTAAGGGGTGTGACTTATTACTGGTTCATAAAAAAAACATTTAGATGTTGGTTTTATTCACAGAATTATAGCACAACAAAAGCTATTGAAATGGAACAATTGAGAAAAAACGTCTCAGGTTACTTATGTAACCATGGTTCCCTGAGTAGGGAACGAGACACTGCGTCCTCTAGGGGTAGCTATGGGGAACGCCTCGTCGTGACCCGTGTCTGAAGCATACATTGAAAAAACACCAACAACACGTTGGCCGGCGACAGCCATGACATGCTATTGAATTAAAGTTGAATCTGTTAACACATTCATTTTTAAAACATGCAGTATTCCATCTCAACTTCAAAGGGTGTGTCTTGTTACTGGTTCATAGACGAACATTTAAATGTTGGTTTCATTCACAAAACTATAACACAGCACATGATGTTGAAATGTCAACGAATACATCAATCAATGTAAAGTAAATAGGCTCTTCTATCTTAACTTCAAAGGGTGTGTCTTGTTAGTGGTTCCTAAACAAACATGTAGATGTTGGTTTTATTCACAGAACTATAAGACAACACATGATATAAAAATGTAAACAAATACATCAATTAATTTCCTATAAATGTACCCTTCTATCTCAATTTCTAAGGGTGTGTCTTGATACTTGTTCCTAAAAGAACATTTCAATGTTGATATTATTCACATAACTATAAGACAACAAAAACTTATTGAAATGTAAAAATTGAGAAAAAGCTTATTAAGATGTGCAGTACACTGCTCCCTAGAGGAACACATTGCAGTTGTTTTGACTTACTTTAAAATTCAGAAATGTGAATAAATTAATTTAAAATACAGAGTCTGACATTTAAACCTCAAAGGGTGTGTCTTGTTGCTGGTTCATAGAAACACAATTATATGTATCTTTCACTTTCATAAAAAAAATCGGATACACGCTATTGAATCAAATTCAAACCTATTAACATATCATTTTTGTAAACATACAGCATTTTATCTCATCTTCAAAGGCTGTGTTTTGTTACTGGTTCATAGAATAACAGTTAGATATCGGTTGAATTTGGAGAACTATAGCACACCACATGCTTGAAATGTAAGCACATAAGCTCACAAAGCCTTTCATAGATTGTGCAGTACACCGCCCCATAGAGGAACATATTGCATTTGTTAAGACTGAGTTTAACATTCACATTTTTAATAAATTAATTTAAAATGCATACAGTTTTCCATCTCAACCTCAAAAGGTGTGTCTTGTTACTGATTCCTAGAATAACATTTTGATGGTGTTTTTAGCCACAGAACTATAATTGAACACATATTATAGAAAATGAAACCAATACATAATTTAGTTTAAAATAAATGCAATCTTCCCTTAGCTTCAAAGGCTGTGTCTTGTTACAGGTTTCTCAAAGAAAATTTCCAGTTGTTTTCATTGTCAAAAGAGATGCAGAAGTCATTCAAGAATAGCTTGCGAAACCTTCCAAAGAGTCTCCAGTATCACTGCCCCCTAGAGGAAGATACTGCAGTTGTTTTGACTGAGTTTGACATTTAAACCTTTAAAAATTAATTTAAAATCAATACAGTCTTCTACTTCAACTTCAAAGGGTGACTGAGTTGTCATTTAAACCTTTAATAAATTAATTTAAAATCAATACAGTCTTCTACTTCAACTTCAAAGGGTGTGTCTTGTTTCTGATGAGTCCCTTATTTGTCCTGAGCAGTTCACTGTCCATTATTCTTCAGAAAAACTCTCCAGGTAACATGTGAAACATATAGGTTTCTTCTGAAGCTTCTGAAATAATTCAGCTATTATTTTGTCTTGTGGACTATATGTAAACATCTTTGATGCAAAATATCTTACTCAGGACAGTACTAAAAAAATAACATGCATTTTGTGTGATCCCTCTTACAAAACAGTGTTTTTAAAGAAACAAAACGGACCCTTTGAAAATGAGCTCGAAAATTGAATTTTTAACTAATTGATGTATTGATTAATCAGCTTAATTACTAAAAAACATGCATTTTGTGTGATCCCTCTTACAAAACAGTGTTTTTAAAGAAACAAAACGGACCCTTTGAAAATGAGCTCGAAAATTGAATTTTTAACTAATTGATGTATTGGTTAATCAGCTTAATAAACAATTTAATTGGCTAGTCAGTTTCAATTGCATGTGTTCAACATTAAAATATTATTCTAGAAACCAGTAACAAGACACAGCTTTTGAAGTTGTGATGGAAAACGGCATACATTTAAATTAATTTATTATCAGATTTGAATTTCATTCAATAGCATGTGTCCTGAATTATATATGACAGTAAAACCTGAATTTAAATGTTCATTTAGGAATCAGAAACAAGACACACATTTTGAAGTTGAAATAGAAGACTGTAGGCTATTCATTTTAAATGAATTTATTAACAGATTTGAATTCAATTCAATAGCATGCATCCTGATTTACAAATTAGAGTAAAACCTGCATGATCCTTTAGGCCCAATTAACAAGACACAACTTGAAGTTGAGATGGAAAACTGTATGCATTTTAAATTAATTTATTAAAGGTTTGAATGTCAAACTCAGTCAAAACAACTGCAGTATCTTC